CGGACAGTTCCACAGGTAATGTTGTTCAACTTTAGACGCTCAAATAGTTCCACAGATGTGGAATAATTATCCATTACCACAACATAACCACCTCCGCTTAGTCTGGGTCTGTCCACAACACTACTCCGAAACCAAATCTGTCTTTAGAATTAGGAGTATCCTGCGATTTGTTTTGATACACTTCAAACTCATAGATATAACCACTCATATTGGCTCGATACCATTACTACCTGCAAAATAAACATTTCAATAAACACTCATCACAGAGTATGTATACGCAGTAGTAGAAATGAAGGTGTTGACGACTGTTAAAGTAATAACTTTCTAATAGAAGAATAAATTGTTTAAACCGCTAAATTTTGCGCCTTACTCCATCGTCATGCCCAGCAAAGGCTATGACCGTTAATATTACGCTTGAGCCCTGGCGGTACTTTCTGGTACCAACATATGTGTTGGATCGGTATGATACGGATTACGTATAAACTAGTAAAATAAACATACAGAATCATGAAATGTCCACTACGAAAACGAATAAAAATCGATAGGACTGACAAGCTGCAACAAAACCGAATCTTAATAAAGCAACCACTCACAGTTCTCGGAAACCAATTTCTGACCACGCTCAACATTAAGCACAAAAGTTAACACCACAAACTGTAGGGTTCTAGCCCTTGTCTAATTGTTGACAGATATCCACGTGAGTACCGGCCGGAATAACGCTTGTATTTAGGCATGATAACAATTTAAACGAAGTGGTACTTATAAGTACCAACAAGACACAAAGGGTAAAGAAAAATGTACTCAGAATAGCAGAATAAATTGAAAAACAAATAGGATAAGAATTCCACAGAAGCTATTTCAAGAAGAAAAGGAGACTTTTCTCTTCCTAAGTCACAAGGATGACACAGGAAGCTGGGAGTTATGGAAATAAGCAACTGACTTTTAGTGATAGAGAAAGCGGTGATGGTGTAGGGCGTGGTTAAGACATGAGTCGAGTCAATGACAGAATGGACAAGAAAATCCGTCTAATATAGTAACAAAAATGAGAAAACAAGATTTTGAAACCATCCTCATAATGTACCGCAATACAAAAAGATAGGATTAAAAAGTTACACCACAAAAAGATTTCAAGCAGGTAATATGATGCTAAATATTATATTATGTGTTTTGTATGAGATCCAGATTGGAAGAGGGATCGAAAGGGGTGGGGCATGGATGAAGAACACACAACACGAACGCCATTGGGGCCCGCTCTTCGCCATATCAGCAAGTGTGTCTAACCAAACGTGTTCATCGACCTTAGGACCCCAGACAGGCAGTCGGGATGCACCAACCGACTCCAACTTCGAAGTGAGGGTTTTCATTTCTCTCTACCAAGTCATCGCTTGAACTCCCCTCCTCCTCTTCCAACCGCATCCACAACGCGCAAATAATGCACGTTGCGGGAGTGGGTGTGCTGGCATGCGCAACACATGGCCAAGCCATCGGAGCCCGCTGCGTGATTTAATGATGGTGAGAAGTTCACTCGCTCTTCCAGAACCAAATACGCGACGCCGAATACGCTCATTGCTCACACGGTGCTCCCACCAAACATAAGTTAAGCTGAAAAGGCAGTGATGATCGAAACGTGACCAGCCTCTTTATATCTGTCGATCTGATGTGCCAGGTTTCACAACAGTATAAGAGGGTTGAACGGACGGTTGCATTATAAACTCAGCCCTTCAAGGCGAGAGTGATATCGCGTCTGCGCCACAGGTGAAGGAGATTGGCAAAAGTACCACAGATTTTGCTATACGGTTCGTAACCACAACTTGGATCACACGGGCGTCCAGATACTTGAATTCCTGAAAGACCTCCAGCTTGCACCACCAAGTGTCATCGCAGGGGTGAGACCGTGCCAATCTTGGAGAAGTACTTTGCAAAGCATAGCCCAAAACGATAGACAGAGAGTTCTAATCGGTTCAGTGCTGTTTACCATGTTTGGGAGCTGCCACAGATTAGGGTAATATCGTCCGCATACTCCAAGTCAAGAAGTCGCTCACCAGGAACTAGCTCCACACATTCCAGGTCGTGTCCAGCGAATGCTGTTTCTATGACCTCGTCGATTGCGAAGTTAAGGAGGAAAGGTGATAGCGGACAATCATGTCACACACCGCTGGTGACACTGAAGGACGGCGACAGTTTGGCATAAACCCTCACACTGCCAGAACTATGCGCGCAAAGCGCTTTGATAATGTTTACCTATTTAGCAGACACACCTTTCCTAGCAGACAGTCCCAAAAATCACACCGATCCACAGATTCGAAAGCATCTTTGATATCGAGAAACACAACAAAGGTGGGTCATCAATAAATATGACGGTGCTGCAACAGTTGACGCAAGGTGACGATGTGGTCGATGCAGCCCCGACCTAGACGAAACCCGGCTTGCTTACCACGAATCTGGCTTTCACGAGTGACAGTCAGTTTGTGGGGAACAAAAGACGAAAGCAATTTAGAGGCAATTGAAATCAGACTGATCCCTCTGTGATTGCCGCATTCCAAACGGGAGCCTCCCTTGAAAACTGAAACTATGGCGGAGAGGCTCCAATCTGTTGGGACGGTTTCCAGCTCATACAGTTTCATCAGTAAATTGTGCAAATCACCTACAAGAGACGGTCCGCCGAATTTGAAGAGGGCTGAGTGAATCCAATCTGTCCCTGCGGCATTAGGCAATTTCAACAGTATGATCTCACGCTCGACTTCTGCGTGTGAGAGAGGATCCAATGAGACAGCTAGGGTAGAAGGGTAATCAATGCCGGAAAAGGAAGATGATAACCCAGGTTGGTTAAATTGCCCTGCAAAGTGTTTGGTAAGACATTTCAATCGTTTTGATAAGCTGTGGATCAGCTGTACACTCTCGTCGCTTGTGGTCTCGCTAACACCAGGTCTCCTGCTGCCCGTTTCCCGTATCCGACGGAATAACTTACGATGATTACCAATGGTAGCCACTGTTTCCATTTGCGAGGCAGAATGAGACCACTAGACTTCGCGGTCTCTCTTCAGGCTAGCAAGTATCTTTGCCCTGAGTCTCACTGCATTCGCTTCCAGCCGGAATACGTCAGCGAGCATTTATAAGTTCCAGAGCCTGTATAGAGACCCAATGTCCAGTTTGGCAATTGGATGTGCCACATGAAGACACGCCTGCTGATAGTGAGGTTTGGCGAATATGCATCCAGTGATCTTCGACGGTGGTCAGTGGGCGCTTACTCTGCCCGGAGGCCAGCGTACTTTGATACATATGCAGAACACCTGGCTTCGCCAGCTGGCGAGTGTCAATGCGTACACATCGATGTTCCGGACGTCCAGCGAAACACACCCGGAGGTCGGCGCAAACATGTACGTGATCAGAGTCCACGCTCGTGCTCCAAATCGAGCGACAGTTTTGGACACAGCTTCTCCAGCTGTAAATGATCGTGATATGATCGATTTGCGTACATGGCTGGTGGGCGCCAAATCACGCTTCTGCGAGTACTGTGTCGAAAGTTTGTGCTCGCGAGAAAGAGACGAGCATCTTCACACATCTGTAGCAATCGCTCATCGTTATCAGCACGGGAGCCTACACCATGTTGGCCACCCAAAGGAAGCTCATCAGAGGATAAGATTCCGACTTGGGCGTTTAGATCGCCAGCCAACACTACAGTATCCGGGTTTCTTCGGTAACGAAGGAGATGGTGAAGTTGCTGATAGAAATCACCTTTCACCGGATCAGTGCCACAGTTTGTAGTGGCGTAGGCCGTAAGGACAAACAGGCACCGTTGGTACCGCGCGACTTCGAGGCATGGAACGAACCAGCTAATCTAACGGCGCACATCCGACTGTTCATTGGGAGCCAATTGATCAGGGCAGCTTCAGCCCGGGGACTCAAAGCGCTGTCGACGACAGCTTGAACGGCATTTGAAGCAGCATCATGGCCAGACAGGTGCAATGAGTAGGTGCCGCATGTAGGAAATCGCAGGGTAAGCACGGAGCTCGAATCTTGCCGGCGGGTTTCTGATAAACAGCAAATATCTACCAATAGGGTCTTTAGTGTTCGGGCAAGTGCTGCCTGTTGGCCAATCTGTAGCAAAGTGTGCACGTTGAGGGATGTCAGTCTTAGCGAGGATCGAGGACTCCAAAGGAAAACGGATGAACTGACGTTGTCCGCTTGGTTGAACATGGACTCGTCGACTGGATTGGAGCGACGTCCTGCGACTGTGAGTTGAAACTAGAAGACAAGCGACTATTGAATCAGTGTGGAGGAGGGCCAAGAGTTGAAGGACTGAAAATGGGGGGACAAAATGAAAGTTGGAACGGGACGATAAGGATGAAAAAGCGCAAAAGGAATAATAAGACGGGAAGGCCTGAGCAGTAGCACCCAAACCCTTAACCACCCTGCTCGATGCAGCAGTTAGGGCGCCGTTGATTATCCTCTGCGACGGCCAGAGCATTAAAAAATTATGAGAAGGAAGGTTCATTGTATTGCGTGGACAGAATATTATGAGGTTGACCAAGAACGATTAGGGTTCTCCACCAAAGGTTTTGGTTCAAAAACCTTACCGCAAGGTAGCGGGGTTTTGGCACTGGACTACAAAGAGCCCGTTTTATGGAGTAAAGATCTACCCTTACTCTAACCCCCAATCTGGAGGGCCAGGAGACTGAGTTTGTCTGGCCTCTAACCATTGAATACTGTGGTATGAGTGACTCTGAAGGTGCAAATAAACAGCATCCAACATAGCTCAACGGATCATTGAGGCATACAAACCATCGCACCATGTTAAAGTCAAGTCTGGTCGCGAGTATGAAAACGCCAATTAGTGCAAATGTGCTAACAAGAACTGGATTTTACATGCTTGCATCAAAAGATAGTAAATTGTCATGGTGTGTTTCCACTTGGTGCAAAGTGTTTTTCTAGTGGCATTGCTAAATCCGCGAATTCGTGAGGGCAATAAAGATAATGTTCGCCAAGTATCCCTATTTCACCAGAAGAGAATTATGCTGCTCAAATAGCTTTGGACGCGAGACAGTCCCATGAAAAACAGGAAGCTTTGAGACAGTCATGGAAACAAGATAGAATAAAACAGTGATGAATCCATATTTTTTACATAAACGCCACAAATCACAAGCTGCCCAAAAGCAGCTGAAAAGAGGGGAGATTGAAGTAAATCGTTATGAAAGGAGAAATACGAGAATCGCTTTCACACGGTGGGGCAGTTGCCGATGAAACAAAGCAAAGCTGACGAAGGAGTGCATACTGACGAGTGGCGCAGAGAAGATCGACAAATCAAAAGTTTCAGATGTCAACATTCACGAAGCTACCGGAGACCAACGGATACGCCCGAGTAAGTGAGTCTGATGCTCGGCGCTCACGCGGCGATATTCTGCCAGAGACAAATGCAAGTCAGCCCGACCAGAGGAAAGCCCGCGGACAGAGGCAGAATAGCCGATAAGTTCGGCTAACGGAGCCAAAGCAGTGACGATGCGATACATTGGTTGGTAAGCGGTGTTCCCGTTGATAGAGTCAGTTGTGGTTACGGAGAGAATTTCAGCACGGCGCGAGGAAAGATCGCCGAGGAATTCTGATAGTGAATCCCCTAAAGGAAAGAAAGTAATTTTGATATTGTAGGGTTTGTTATAAGTACACTGTCATTGAACAGGGACTCAAACATGGCTTTTAGCATACTACAGAAAAGCGTTAACATGCGAGCAATGAAATGAGGAGGATCAAATCAAGTAAAGCATTGTGCATCCGGATGGATGCATTTTCAGGATTAAACATTATCGACTGCGTATAGACTGAGATAGCATCATCAAAGATGGAAAAAATGAACAAATAGAAAAACGGAAACGGGGAAAACAGTGCACAGATAAGCCTCGATTAAACCCGTTGTATCATAAGGCAAAGACCGCACACAATTAAGGATAACCATCGGGGTCTGTCTACTGTTTACAGGATAGCGTCTAAAATCAAACTGCCAACGAACAAGGTGTCATTTCAGGGTACTAAAACGCCTAATAATTCGTTCGATTTTTATGGTTTCATGGCCAAACTCAACAAAATGCGAAATGTACGTAACATCCCGAACTTTTTCGAAAAACCGAAGAAATAGCACAGTAGTAGAGATTTTGAAATAAGTTTATCCAAGGAACTGTCAACGATATTCTGAGAAACAGATAACTCTCTACAGTGTGTCCGATAGGTTTGGATCGATCCTGTAATTCAGCCATGACTCGCACCTTTCGATGACGCAGTTGGCACGTATATACTAAACTCCAGCATCCGTAAGGCTTATCCGCCTAAGCAATCGGCAGTTTATGTTGGATAGCACATGCGCGCACGCAGACACCTGCGTTTGGGGCGCGCAAAATCTCGTGCGAAGCCATGAATTGTGATCTAACCTTCGACGGTATACATGACAGCCCTGCAACGGAGTCAGTTCGTCAAGAGATGGGCACAGAGAGACCTAATGAGCCAGTCGAATGTTTGATAGCTTCGTTCACTGCACGGCATGCTGACTGTCGTTCGTTCGGGGCAAACTAAGCCAGAGGACAGGAGCTTATTCGGCAGCGAATGAGGACGGGCATTGTATGTTGTCTAAACATAGGACGATGGATAGCTGTCGTTATGTTTTCCTGTGTTAGATGAATTTTCGTGCAGTTAACTATCATAATATTTAAGCCACGTCAAAAAGAGATCATCCTGGACCAGAGCGATGAATGTTTGATGGGCGGTTAGTTTTACTAGTCGACGAACAAACAGTTATGGCCAGCACTCTTGTAGTCTTAAAACAGCTTCCAACAAAGCACCTTAACAAAAAGGTGAAAATCGTCATCATCAGAATCATCAAGACCAGTTAGATGAGGGTGAGAAACACACCTCAGCTACCGTGCCGCAATATAAAATGGATAAGATACTATAAAATTACACTACAACAACATTAGCAAGCAGACAGTAAAACCACGGAACCATGGCGCATTACCGGTAAAAATGCCATGCTTATCAAATTTCGTTGGATGGAAAATGTTGAGTAAATAAAAATGCATGACAAAGTGAAAAGCAATTTGGTGGACCCCACACACACGAATGTGGAATATCGTAGATAATTGCGAGTTAAAAGCGTAAATCCATAAACATATTGGTTAAAATGTTGGAAATACCGTTTGGTTGCCTCATGTAGCCCCCTAGCTACCACAAGTTACAGAATAAAGTGCCGATGGGACAACATTTCGACGAGTCTTTTTTATAGTATAGTTAGATTCGGAGCCGAGACGACATAATTTAGGAGAGCGTTGCACGACTGTTAAATATCATATAGTGCATCTGTCTTGAGATCGTAATGGAAAGGAGTATTTCAAGGAGAGGGGGATGGGCAATGAAACAAACAACGAAAACGCCATTGAGCTCGGCTCTTCACCATACCAGCAAATGTCTCTAACCAAATATGACCACCGTCCTCCGGATCCCAGCCAGGCAGTACGGATGCACCAACCGACACCAACTTCGAAGTGAGGGACTTCACTCATCTCGACCAAGTCCTTCCTTGGCCTCCCCTCCTCTTACATCCACACAACCGGCGCGCGAAATACGCATGTCGCTGGGGGTCGGTGAGCTGGCATGCGCGACACGTGGCCCAGCGAACGGAGCCTGGTGCGTGATATAGTAGTGATGAGGAGTTCACTCGCTGTTCCCGCAAAAAGTGCACGATACCAAACACATGCGGTGCTTCCACCAGATATGAGCTAGGCAGCGGAGGCACTGATGGTCTAAAGTAGCTAGCCTCTTGACGTTTGTGGACCTGATGCGCCAGGATTCAGGGTGACATAATCATCATCATCATCATACACGTTAGCTAGAGGTAGGGAGTACCTCAGCTACTGTCATCACCAAACAGCGGCGATGAGAAAGTGCCGTCAGTGTTGCATGTGGAGTATAGCAGGGTGAGCACAGCGCTCTAATCTAACAGGTGGCTTTCCGACAAACGGCAGATATCGATCAATGGGGTCTATAGTGATCTGGCAAGTGGTGCCTGTTAGCCGATCCGTAAAAAGGTGTGGGGGTTGAGGCATGCCAGTTTTGGAAAATATCGAGGACTCCAGGGATAAACGGAGGAACTGACGTTGTCCGCTTGGTTAAACATGGATGTGTCAATGCCCAGCGATTGTGTTTGAGTTGAAATTAGAAGACGAATGCCTGAAGAAGCAAGATGGGGGAGGACCGAGAATTAATGGGTTGAAAAGTTGGAACGATAAGGACGAAAAAGCGCAAGAGGATGAATAACAAGACGGGGAGGCCTAAGCTGTAGCATGCATACCCCTATTCACCCCGCTAGATGCAGCAGATAAGGAGCCGTTTATTATCCTCTGCGACGGTTAGAGCATCGGAGAATTGTTTGAAGGGGAAATCCTTGTGCTGTATTACGTGGGCAGAATACTGTCAGGTCACCCAAGTCTAGACAGGAGAATGATGCCAAAAAGCAATAAATTACTCATAGAAGTGCCATGGATATGGAGCACAATAAGTCGAATCAGTGGAGCAAATCGCGTTATTGACAGCTATCCGGTGGCTTTCCGGACAACGACGAACAATGCGCGTTAATCGATCTGGATGGATAGGAAGGCAGTGCAGAGGGCAGCAGAGGAAAAGATGGTCCCGTGAAGCACCAAAAGCCAGCCTCCAAATGGTGGGCGACCGAAGGAGATAAGGACGGAGCCAGGTAACCTATAATTATCAAAGCAACAATCGTTCAAAGTCTCCGAAGCACAGTGGTTGTGCTTAACTGTTAGGCTGAAGCCCTGTTGCATGCCTTGCTAGTTAGGCCTCTGAGAGGCCACACATGTGCCGATCTATTCAGAAGTGCTATACAGTACGCTCACTGTGCGAGTGTCATCAGTCCATGAGTCAGAAGTTCAACCAAGCAAAAATCAAACGGAGAAGTTATTCATGACGAGTGTGATGTAAAGCTCAAGAGGAATTGAAACGGGGGCCAAAAGCTTTCTGGAAAATCCCTACATATTCTTGGAAATAATGAGAACGTGGGCCGCAATACATAAAAAGAAATCTCCAGTACAGATAAGCAGCAATGTAGACGGACATCAGTACTAAAATCAAAAGCGGCTCCAAATCAAGAAAGGCATCAGAAATGGGCCGGCTCACCGAATCGGTGTTTAACTGCCACGCGACCATTACGGGTCGCGCGAGAGCTAGGCATACCACGAGGTCGTCCGCGCCTACGAGGATTCGAACCAGTAAACGCAGAATTATAAAACAAGCGCGTACTTCTCTGAACCACTGGCTAAAAAGCAAGAAGCACCACAAAGATGAAACACCCGCATGCATGACACGGTGAAAGCAGCGGGTGAATTGCGAAATTGTGAGCAATTCATCCATAACCGAGGTGGAAATTAGCCTGGTACAGTTACTACAATATACGTAATGGCTCAGTTGTGCCATCAAATGTGAGTGGTCCGGGTTTACTCCGATGCAGCAAATAGTTGGGCGGCAGTGTTCCAGGCCGTGATGAGTTTTCGACTGGCAAGCGTTCTCCTAATTAAGGTCCATAAATGCCTCTCTAACAACACTGCGATGTGGCGGATGTGACTCGTCACTAACTTAAGCCACTGTCCTTTCTAGCGCCGGCGATGAAACCTAACACAATCAAAAGTGCAATGGTAAATTTACTAATCAAATTAACAGCCACGTGCCTACAGAGAGAAACATATAAATCCGTTATGTGACTGGCAAACTTGACATTTTTGTACATGTGTTCCGGTCGTTCGTTATCCAATTATCTGTGCCTATGCATGCGTGATCGCATTGTCGAGAATAAACGTTATTTATTTGATATTATACCCAAAATGGCAATATCCATAGATTTTGAGAGCACTAGTGCCTTAAAAGCTAATTAAATATTCACCACACCCGTCAGTTGGCTTGTGTCCCTATAAGACTGCTTGCATCCTTCAAAGACATAGTTGAAAACTTGAAAATGACGTCACTGCTTTCGTTGCTATTCTCTTCGATCCGGGTTGAAATGTTGGATCCACAATATTTTGTATTACGAACATATCGTCTATCTCTGCAGCTAGTTTCGCTACTTTTGAGCTTACATGCTCAATACGTGTACAGTTCAGTTCAGTTGATCAACTTCGATCCAAGCACCAAAGTGCGGTGGATCTAGTTGTCATGACTCACAATGTAAAAATAACAATAGATAACACCGGTAGAATAGTGAGGTTGGATGCAAATAGAATGTAGAGAAAATGAAAGCAAGAGGGAAATGCGCTAGACTAATAAGAATGGAACGGAAGTTAACAGCCAGATGAGAGAAGCCGAATGCAGGAACGCCACTGACTTCGTGACTGCGCCATGTCTGACAGGGTGTCCAACCATTTGTATGACATGTACCGAGAACCTCAACCAGGAATACGGCACGAACCAGCCTGATCAAGTATCGCTGTCAATTTATACATGCCTCTATGCCATGTCGTGGACTGGCCACCTCGAGGTTTCGTCCAACTTGGTGCAGCCACAGCGTATAATGCATGCCGAGGAAGCTGATCAATAGGCATACGGAGGACATGGCCTAGCCAACGTAAACGACAAAGACCCACGAGATAGGCACCAGAAAACTTCTTGCCAAAAACCAACTGGTGGACCTCAGCACTGCTCACTCGGTGATTCCACCAAACGTGCGCAATACTCCGCAAGCACCGGTGATCAAACAAGGCCTAACGTTTAACGTCTTCATTGCGAACTGACCATGTCTTCGACCCAAACAGTAACACTGGCCTTATCACAGCGTTATACACTCTACCTTTAACTAACAAACTGATATCCTGCCGTCTCCACAGATGGTGGAGCCTCTGGAAAGCGCCTCGGGCCTTGCTGATAGGCGAAGTAACTTCCTCAGTTCTGTGACCACCAGAGGTGACACAGCTACCAAGTTAAGTGAACCGATTCACCAGTTCCAGTGACTATTCGGAAATGGCCAAAACCAGAGGTGTGTCGGCCCAGTCCTGCAACAGCACTTTGCACTTCGAAGGTGCAAAGTACATGCCGAACCGTGCAGCACTACGCACAAGGCTGTGCAGTAGTGTTTGCATAGCTAAAGCATCAGACCCAAGGAGAACTAGGTCATCCGCATATGCCAAGTTTGTCAGTCAGTCACCTGGCAGAAGTTCACTCCAGAATAGTCTGAAAGAACCGAGTCATTCATGATCATTTCGATCACAAAGTTGAAGAGAAAAGGAGATATAGGACAATCCTGGCGAACTCCACTTGTCTTGCGTAACACAGCACCGAGTTTCCCGTAGACCTTACATGGCCTCGGGAATCACGGTAGAGGGACTTCAGAATGGAAAGGAGTTTAGCTGTCACGCCCTTCATAGATAGGCAGTGCCACAAGCTGGCGCGGTCAACAGAGTCAAGGCGGTTTTCAAATCAATCAAAACGATCATAGTCGGTTGTTTGTAGGTGTATCTCTGTTCTAAAACTTGGCGAAGAGTAAATGTGGTCGTTAGAACCACGGCCAGGGTGGAAGCCAGCCAGGCTTTCAGTGATTCGGTCCTCACGGAAACCAGTAAGCCGTCGAAGAATGATACCCGTGAGAAGTCTTGTGGCAATGGAAATAAGGCTAATGTCCCGATGATTTTCGCACAAAGTACACTGACCCCTCTTGAAGATGGGCACGACAGTTGATAGTCGCCAGTCTGAAGGCACTTCTTCAGTGTCCCAAATCGTGTTAAAATGAGAAGCAAGTCCAGTCAACAAAGAGTCGCAACCATCTTTCAGCAAAGATGGGAGAAGGTCATCGGGTCCCGGAGCGTTGTTTCGTTTTAACAGGGTGAGCTCAGGTCGAATCTCATGTACTTCCCACGTCAGCTCAGGTGATTCGGCAAGCGGTAGTGTAGCAGCAGACCTGCTGAATTGCTCTTCAAAAATGTTCCGCCCAACGGGCTAGTCGACGGCGCTAAGAATGGATCGACTGTCCACCTTTCGCAGCTGTTGTTTCGCTAACGGATGGCTTTCTCGAACCCGTGTTTCGGATGATCTGTAATAGCATCCGGCTGTTTCTCCATCTTACGGACCTTAGTAACCCACCAATGTTCTCGGTCAACTCGATGACTCCTTGTCAGACATCGTTTCCGGGAGTTACGGATGCGCTGAAATTCAGTGCCCATCAATACATGTACACAACCCCGATGGTCAACACGGAACAGGCCTAGCACACCTGACGATCTCCTATCACGCACCAGCACTCCAATCAATCTCAGCTGTTTTAGTCAGCTATGATTTCAGATTCTTTAGGACACCCTGAAACGAATTCCACATCTCAACCAAGCGGATGGACGACTCAGAAAGCTATTCATCCTCCAAACTGGAATGACTAAATGGCGCACAAGGCCTTCTTCATGGTGCTTAATTGGCGTCTACTGGCTATTAAAGTAAGCAATTGCGCTGACGGTCCAACTCGCATTTAAAGCATTACCTCTCGAGTTGTGCTTTGAAGTGAGAAACAAGAAGCCTCAACGGTGAGTGCTTTGCCGAAGCTGTAAGAGTGAAGGTTAAGTGGGTGCGCAGTACGACGTGATCGGAGTCTAGATTAGCGCCAAAACTGACCGGCAATTTTGCAGGATGTGGATGACGGCAACGCAGTCAAGTTGTAGATGTTGCAGCGGATCGTTCGGCAAGGCAAAGTGACGCGATGCGAAGAGGTGGGCTGGGAACTGATTTCAAGAAGATCAAATCTGTATTTGGGGCGGATTTGAACAAACCGAGTGTCATCATCAGCATGATGAATCGACTCCAAAGTGGCGTACAAAGTGTATTCGGACGCCGATAGGCGGGCAGGTTTGTCACAAACAACGATCACGGTACCCTTATTTTCAATTAAATAACAGGATAATCGATACGATTCATTTCTGACAGTTTCGAGCGACATTCGATTGGTGCATATAGCAGAAGAAGATACGTTGCAAAGGACGCGTTTGATCCCGGAAAGAAACGAGTCTCCATGACAATAGGGCCGAACCGTTTGTTGGAGCATTTCCAGGCATTTGGAAGCAGCCACAAAGAAATAACCAATTATGTACCTCAAAACATCCTTACTCATGAATAAGTATTTAGCTGCAAGTTTCTTATTGTGATGTTTATAATGAGTCAAACCAAATAGACATGCGACCAATCGCTGGTGCTCATTCGGGCACAGTACACCCCTCTGTAAGTTGAGGGCTGGGTCAAAGTGGCCGACATGCAGAGGTCTGCATCCATAAGGTTTCCATGATGAACGTTCAAGTGACAAAAAAACCGGTCAACTTAGATAGTTGGTCAACATCGTTGGTTTTGCTGTAGATTACTATCAGTAATTCTAACGGAAGTAAAGCGAAATAGTGGACGCCTCATAGCTGCGAAAATGAACAGCAATAGAGACGTATAACGTAGCTATCACCGCAAGATCGTGAGTCAACTAGTTGCAAGCACATCACTATCTTACAGTCTTGTATTCGTCGGTCTATGGTGTTCATTACAAAAGAACGAATTGTGGAACATAGCGTTACACGCAGAACAAGCTGAAACGTGAATGCTGAGGAACTGTAAAGAAAAGAAACGATAAAACAGCTGAACTGACCAAAAAGAGAAAGGAGTAGTGATGAGGAATTGCATTAGCAAATAGTGGGCTCTGGTTTCTCATTCCATAAGTGGCGTTTGACCGGAGATTATATGTTTCTAAACCGTACTTCAATTGTACGACCCATAGGGGGATCGGAATCAATGTGGTGTACACTGACAAATTCGAAATTTCCAAAAAAGTCAAAATGTATCCTCATTAAACGTAAAGTTTCCGGGCCAAACAATCCTGTTGGGTGGATTTTAACGGTAATGCGATGGAGCAGTGCAAATTGATTGATGGGTGGCAAAAGCTGAACCGAGTGGCTATGCACTCTGACATGAACTAGAAACAGGAGAAGGTCGATTCCCAAAGTGGGGAGGAGTGTTCGTCAAGATAGCGTAATGATGGTTGAAAACCAAATGTCCGTGCGATTGTTGTGTTGATGTTGTTGCAACAGTGAAGAGGAAAGCACTGATGGTAAACCACAGGCAAGTGAGTTTGATGTCAGTGGTGGATCGATGCTGATACTATGGTGTAGAAGCGCCGCCAATGTTGCTGAAGTTGGTCTTTCCTAAACGCATGAAGGAGAGCAACGACTGGGTGTACAAGCACAGGGTACTATTGTGTGGATAGGATCACGTACTTGAAGAAAAAGCCCGCAGAATACTGCGATGACACTTAGCATGAATGTGAAATCTTGTGACGGCCATCTTTCGAAAGTGGGCCGTAGCAGTGCGCGATACAGACTAATCAAATGAAAAAATGAACGGAGCAGTGAAACTGGCGATATCAGGTGAATGTGAGACCAAATGAAAACATAGAAGCAACATTACACCAACGCCTCACACAACGAACCTGTATCCGTGGGTAGCCGAAGCTCAATTTGGATCATTGGCTCAAGTAAACTCCACTCAGAAATGTTTCTGGCCCCATTCAGAATGGCAGTCGTTACTGCCAATCGACACAGCGTCAGCAAAGAGCTACCTGAGGTCAGCTGATTGATGGGGAACCGAGTGTTAACCGACAGTCGTTCCAAATCGGAAACGCTGCGGATTTCGGACGGGATTAGCCCAGAGGGTGTCACAACCAATCGGTGAACGGAAACCGTAACATGTACCACCGGGGAGCGAAGCAGTGGCCCTGCGCTCTCTAGGGCTGATAAAGCGGATTGTCGAATAGCCTGATGAAGACGGACGATGGCACTTTGGTGGGAACCGTGTCCCCCAAGATCTTGGGGATTAAGCAATGTGCGCTGGATTTGGACCTGGGGTGAAAAGAACAGCACAAACTAGATTAGTCCAAAAGTACACACTCGTGACAGCGATTTTACAGAGCGCGGAAGGAAGAGGCGTAGTGAATAAACCGTCACACTGACAGACGCAAATGGATCTTCGTCAGCTCAAAGCCAGACAGACAGTAAAACCCTTACTAAATACGCAATGATACAGATGTTCAGTTGTACGAATGAATGCAGGTCGGAGAAGAGTTAGTAAAAATA